ATGTAGAGGTCTGTAATTTTTATCATAGGTACACTTCAACTGTGAGAGACGGAATCTAAAACAAAAAACCAGAAAATCACATTGTATGAATTTTAAGTAATTAATTTGCATTTTATTGCATGACATAAGTATTTGATCACCTACCAACCAGTACGAATTCCGGGTCTCTAAGAACCTGTTAGTTTTTCTTTAAGAAGCCCTCCTGTTCTCCACTCATTACCTGTATTAACTGCACCTGTTTTAACTCGTTACCTGTATAAAAGACACCTGTCCACACACTCAATCAAACAGACTCCAACCTCTCCACGATGTCCAAGACCAGAGAGCTGTGTAAGGACATCAGAGATAAAATTGTAGACTGGGATGGGCTACAGGACAATAGGCAAGCAGCTTGGTGAGAAGGCAACAACTGTTGGCGCAATTATTAGAAAATGGAAGAAGTTCAAGATGACGGTTAATCACCCTCGGTCTGGGGCTCCATGCAAGATCTTACCTCGTGGGGCATCAATGATCATGAGGAAGGTGAGGGATCAACCCAAAACTACACGGCAGGACCTGGTCAATGACCTGAAGAGAGCTGGGACCACAGTCTCAAAGAAAACCATTAGTAACACACTACGCCGTCATGGATTAAAATCCTGCAGCGCACGCAAGGTCCCCCTGCTCAAGCCAGCGCATGTCCAGGCCCGTCTGAAGTTTGCCAATGACCATCTGGATGATCCAGAGGAGGAATGGGAGAAGTTCATGAGGTCTGATGAGACAAAAATAGAGCTTTTTGGTCTCAACTCCACTTGCCGTGTTTGCAGGAAGAAGAAGGATGAGTACAACCCCAAGAACACCATCCCAACCGTGAAGCATGGAGGTGTAAACATCATTCTTTGGGGATGCTTTTCTGCAAATGGGACAGGACGACTGCACTGTATTGAGGGGAGGATGGATGGGGTCATGTATCGCGAGATCTTGGCCAACATTGAAGATGAGTCGTGGCTGGGTCTTCCAGCATGACAACGACCCGAAACACACAGCCAGGGCAACTAAGGAGTAAGAAGCATCTCAAGGTCCTGGAGTGGCCTAGCCAGTCTCCAGACCTGAACCCAATAGAAAATATTTGGAGGGAGCTGAAAGTCCGTATTGCCCAGCGACAGCCCCGAAACCTGAAGGATCTGGAGAAGGTTTGTATGTAAGAGTGGGCCAAAATCCCTAATGCAGTGTGTGCAAACCTGGTCAAGACCTACAGGAAACGTATGATCTCTATAATTGCAAACAAAGGTTTCTGTACCAAATATTAAGTTCTGCTTTTCTGATGTATCAAATACTTATGTCATGCAATAAAATGCAAATTAATTACTTAAAAATCATACAATGTGATTTTCACAGTTGAAGTGTACCTATGATAAAAATTACAGACCTCTACATGCTTTGTAAGTAGGAAAACCTGCAAAATCGGCAGTGTATCAAATACTTGTTCTCCCCACTGTATCAGAATTGGCTGCCTGTCTAAACGCAGCCTTTCAGTCTATCTGACGTCCCCAGACAACAATGAAGAAGGAAGATAATCTATTGAAAGCCAATACCACGCACCACTAATTATTCAACTAGTGAATACCAAGGAACCACTGTGGATATAAGGCGTACAATTATTGAGTTAATTGCCATATTTCGAGGTAAGCTCGGGAATATCTTACAGAACTGATGCAAAATCCAGCTCCTGGTAGGAAATCTGCCTTTTAATGAATAACAACCAGAACCCACTGGGAAACAGGTGCTTGAATACAAACAGAGGACAGCTTGAGGAATTGCCTTCCAACATCATTGCTGTACAATAACAATACTGAGAGTAGGGATAATTCATGTTAATTATTCATCATTATCACACATTTCAATAATCTCCCAAACTGAATCAAAACACAGGCCAAATCTACCTCCCAAAACACTAAAGTTACGCCAAGAGCATATCTCAATCTGCTCACGTTTATTGTCTCATACACCAAAATGCTACCAGACACCTTGCTGAACTTCTCAAGTTAGAACTTAGCACTTCGAACACCAATGACCCTTTCGAGAATCCCGCCATGTCGTAATGAATTAATAATTCTAATGATTTGTATTCTCCTCAGAATATTTATATTTTAGCATGAGATCCATGGGCCAAAGCCTTATATAGAGATAGATTAGATACATATACGGCTTGGACATGGGCAGCCCTAACAGGATCTGCCAATAGAACGGAATTGGATTATGAGAAGGACGTTGTGTTTTCATATATAAAAATTGTGTAACAAAATAGTCCCTGGGGCTAGACAGCCCGATGCTGCAGTGACATTTTAATTTCATGGAACAAAGCCATCTCAACTTTAGCAAGACTACTGCGGGTCACATGGTGTCAGCGATTGTGATAGCTAACAGATACATCCTGCTGTCATGGGGACACACATGGTTTAGGTTCATCCTGGACGATGACATAAACTCATCCAAATGAACTGAGAGGAATGACCTAGTGTGTTCAGTCAGTGCAGCATGATCTGGATCAGTTACTTTTCGTACCAGATGAGTGAGTTTGGATATCTGTCATTCAAGTCCCCAAAACTCAGGATGCCTGCCATCTGGGAATGCACATTCTAATCTACCTCTACTGATCCAGGTAAATCCTTGAGCACACATTTGATATCCTCAAAATAGACTAGAAACTGTTATGTTTGTCTCTCTCAATATACTGTAGACTGTTTTCCCAAGGTCAAATATGTACCACAACTCTAGAGATGGTGTTCCCCTGAAAATGTTTAATACACCACTATCCACTCCAAAATATGCTATTAGGATGTGGTCATGCATCAGCGATTCGACGTATGTCCACACCCGAGCAGCATTGAATTTCTTCATCGAGGCTAGGTAGACACGGAGGCATGCAAAAAGACCGATAAGGATAAACATTAGCATCCGTCGTGCCGTAGACTGATACCAAGCTACACCCAAATCAGACAACACACACAAATACTCACACACACACATACAAAGATGCCCACGTAAACATGCGCATACACACACAAATACTCTCTCACATGCACGCACAAACCCACAGAAAATGAGCAACCCACGTGAGACAATAGATGAAAATGTGGCGCCTATCTCGGCCCAGTGTAATGACTTTGTGCTGCATTGACCCTGTCCCCTGCAATCATTAATTTCAAATCAGCCCTCGCTACATGGGGTCTAGGCTCCGGTTTACAGGGTCTGAGGAGAATCTAATCAGACGTGGCAGTCTCCAGAGAGGCTCTCCACCCACCGCCCCACACTCACCTCAGGGGATGGGGCCTGACCTTATGGGGACTTTCTGGAGACCAGACATTATGGGGACCTGATAATACAGGGTTCAGACTTTCTGGGGACAAGACAATATGAGGACCTGAGAACATGGGGATCCGACTGTATGGGGACTATGGGAACCAACACTAACCCACCTGATCGACTGATGATTAAGCCGTTGAGTCCCCGGTAACCAGGATTGGAAAACACTATTATGAGGGCCAAACATTCCGATCTGAAATGATGGGGACCCTACTCTGATCTTATGGATTCAATGTCTTTGGGTAAAGTCCTGTTGAACTTTTACTCCATATCCTATTTTCTGTCATTGATTATTGGAGATTGTGTTTGGGGCAAGGTAAGGCATGTGCAAAGGATGTTTATATGTCCCTGTGTCAAATACTTTATCTCATCATATGTTGACATGAACAGCAGTGGGAAGAAAATATCCTCCCAAAGATAAGGGGTATCCTGTGAGTATGATCATGAATATAAATACAAATACAAATATAGGGAAACGTGAAAAGCTCAAATACTGTATGAATACTCTTTCAATTCATTTACATTGAGAAGACTTGTTTTTCTTTGATGTGTCCACAATATACTGTACATTGAAGAAGCACATTGATTCTCATTCACAAATACCACTGTGTTAACCCTCAGACAATGTGGGTCAAACTCAAAACAGCACACAGGCGCCCTCCAGTGTAGAGAAACATTCAGCACGTTTAATATTTGCTTGGATTCCATCTGCTGTCTGTAATGCTGTACTGTAAATTGCTTGACTTACAGAAACATCCCCACAGAACAGATAGGATTCGCTCAATCAAGCCTTCTCTGAATCTCCACGTCCAGATGACAGCAAATCTGATTACATGATTTGGGATTTGTAAAAAATAATAATTAAGGCTCTATTCTGAAACACATTGGTTTTAACAGCAAATAATTACTGAAAACTGTATTCCAAATGTCTGGTTTTCTCCCTTGTTTATGCACCTTGGTTGGAAAGCAAGATAGAGACAGTACACCTTTTCATTTGTCCAGGTAATAAACACGAAAGGATAAAACCTCTGGACTGGAATGAGTGACACATAGATGGACATAATTGGCTTAGCTTCAACTTTCAATGACATTTCACTCGTTTGAAATGGGATGAGAATGACATAATTTCCCCATTAAAAGGAAAACTGGGCTAGCTATTGCTTTTGTTATCTGAAGCGGGACATGAGAGATAGGTGATGTTTGACTTAAGGCTCTTTGATGCTCAAGGTCAAAGAGTGACCAACATCATTTCACACTGAGGGATAAGACTATCTCTGCTACAATCAAGACCTAATTCGGATCTCCTTAAAAACCACATTAGAATCATCTTATTTTTCAGAAATCATCATTAAATTGCGTATTGATTGTGGATAATCAAGGGCCTGAACACTAAAGCTCTGACAAAATATGAATCACTACTACTATACGTTGAGATAAGGGTAAAATACATATTGTTTGCTATTTTTACTGATTGACGTTCCTTTGTGTATTCACTGTACTGTCATGAGGAATGGCTTGCTATGCAAAGAAATATGGCAAAAATAAATAGAAACTTCTGATAAATATGCCAATCAAATATCTGATTAACAATATCCTGGTCTCGACATCAAAGCAGGGGGGTACAAATAATGTGGTAGTGTAATCATGGGAGGTCATTAACAGGATGTACTACTCACCAGACTAGAGGTGAGAGAGGGGGCTGACTTCCCCAAGGTGGTGGAGTGCATCCGCACCAGGTTGGAGTTCTCCGAGGGGGTCTGCCATGCCTGCTGGGGGGACGCATAGGGCAGCAGGTACTTTCCTATTGGACAAGACACAATGGTAGTTACATTATAGAGAGCAGATACTTTCCTGTACAAGACAGACAACAGTAGTTAAACTAGGGGCGGCAGGTAGCCTGGCGGGTAGGAGCGTTGGGCCAGTAACCGAAAGATTGATGGATCGAATCCCCGAGCTGACAAGGTAAAAATCTGTCATTCTGCCCCTGAGCAAGGCAGTTAACCCACTGTTCCCCGGGCGCCGATGACGTGGATGTCAATTAAGGCAGCCCCCCGCACCCCTCTGATTCAGAGGGGTTGGGTTAAATGCGGAAGACACATTTCAGTTGAATGCATTCAGTTGTACAACTGACTAGGTTTCCCCCTTTCACTACAGACAGGCATACAGGTGCAGTAATATCATACTGTATATTATGAGAAAAGTACAAATTAAAAGACAAAAGAAAGTTATTGATATTGTGCTTTATCTTTATTTTAAATATTGACTGATTGACTGATTTTATTTTGGGTGTAAAAAAGACTAGGAGCCATTCACACCATTTGCCCAGATGAATGGATAGAAATGCAAAGTCACAGAATTGTTCTAATCCTGTCCTCCTCCTCTCCTTAGAGAAACAGAGCTGAAGCCCCTAAGACGGTGTGGGCTCACATGGGGTAAAAGAGGCAGCAGTGAAAGTAAATACACTTATAAGCTCAGAGACGCTACAGTACATGGCATGTTGATGAGACATTTCCTACATTGAATCCTAAGATTAACAAGCTCTGAACAAATAAATATCTTCAGGGCAAATATTCATCCTTTCTTTCCCCAAGAGTTGTCTCCGAGTAAAAGGCGCTGCATGATCATTCCGACGTCTGCATTGGGCGTGCAGCATTTACGGTGATATGGCCTCTGCAGAAGTCAGGGCATTCATACACTGCTCAAAAAAATAAAGGGAACACTAAAATAACACATCCTAGATCTGAATGAATGAAATAATCTTATTAAATACTTTTTTCTTTACATAGTTGAATGTGCTGACAACAAAATCACACAAAAATTATCAATGGAAATCAATTTTATCAACCCATGGAGGTCTGGATTTGGAGTCACCCTCAAAATTAAAGTGGAAAACCACACTACAGGCTGATCCAACTTTGATGTAATGTCCTTAAAACAAGTCAAAATGAGGCTCAGTAGTGTGTGTGGCCTCCACGTGCCTGTATGACCTCCCTACAATGCCTGGGCATGCTCCTGATGAGGTGGCGGATGGTCTCCTGAGGGATCTCCTCCCAGACCTGGACTAAAGCATCCGCCAACTCCTAGACAGTCTGTGGTGCAACGTGGCGTTGGTGGATGGAGCGAGACATGATGTCCCAGATGTGCTCAATTGGATTCAGGTCTGGGGAACGGGCGGGCCAGTCCATAGCATCAATGCCTTCCTCTTGCAGGAACTGCTGACACACTCCAGCCACATGAGGTCTAGCATTGTCTTGCATTAGGAGGAACCCAGGGCCAACCGCACCAGCATATGGTCTCACAAGGGGTCTGAGGATCTCATCTCGGTACCTAATGGCAGTCAGGCTACCTCTGGCGAGCACATGGAGGGCTGTGCGGCCCCCCAAAGAAATGCCACCCCACACCATGACTGACCCACCGCCAAACCGGTCATGCTGGAGGATGTTGCAGGCAGCAGAATTGTTCTCCATGGCGTCTCCAGACTCTGTCACATGTGCTCAGTGTGAACCTGCTTTCCTCTGTGAAGAGCACAGGGCGCCAGTGGCGAATTTGCCAATCTTGGTGTTCTCTGGCAAATGCCAAACGTCCTGCACGGTGTTGGGCTGTAAGCACAACCCCCACCTGTGGACGTTGGGCATTCATACCACCCTCATGGAGTCTGTTTCTGACCGTTTGAGCAGACACATGCACATTTGTGGCCTGCTGGAGGTCATTTTGCAGGGCTCTGGCAGTGCTCCTCCTGCTCCTCCTTGCACAAAGGCGGAGGTAGCAGTCCTGCTGCTGGGTTGTTGCCCTCCTACGGCCTCCTCCACGTCTCCTGATATACTGGCCTGTCTCCTGGTAGCGCCTCCATGCTCTGGACACTACGCTGACAGACACAGCAAACCTTCTTGCCACAGCTCGCATTGATGTGCCATCCTGGATGAGCTGCACTACCTGAGCCACTTGTGTGGGTTGTAGACTCCGTCTCATGCTACCACTAGAGTGAAAGCACCGGCAGCATTCAAAAGTGACCAAAACATCAGCCAGGAAGCATAGGAACTGAGAAGTGGTCTGTGGTCACCACCTGCAAAACCAGTCCTTTATTGGGGGTGTCTTGCTAATTGCCTATAATTTCCACCTGTTGTCTATTCCATTTGCACAACAGCATGTGAAATTTATTGTCAATCAGTGTTGCTTCCTAAGTGGACAGTTTGATTTCACAGAAGTGTGATTGACTTGGAGTTACATTGTGTTGTTTAAGTGTTCCCTTTATTTTTTTGAGCAGTGTACTTCCTGCGCATCACCGAGCAGTGCAGAGCTGTTGTGAAGGAAGTTGTCAAGGAAGTCAGTTTGTGTTTATACAGGACCTCCCGCCCTCACCTACCGTCAAACAATCATGTCAATGTGGAGTTATATGGAGTCCTCCGCATTGTTACAACATTTGAGAGGAGCACAGCACTGCGGTAGAGAGCTCAATTTGGCCTCTGTGTGCCTCCGGAGGATCTGCAATTGTGTCACACCATCCATATGGCGCCGCCGACCACATTTTCAGATCAAGCATAAATTGGCTCTAACAGTCGCTAGATAGCAGTAGGTGCTACGATTACTATCAACATTCAACCACATTTTATTCAGTTATGGAATCGGATATGCAGTTTAGAGCCCCACAGTGGAGGTGTCATAATATCCATAAAACCTAGCGGTCAAACAGGGAACTGATTCCAATAGTTTTTCCACCATTCATTTTTCCCATAGGGAATTTTAGAAACACATAAAATAAGGGCTGTGTTTCGTGTAGGATTACCCTGACGTGACATTTTGATAACCATGTAAATCTCTCTCAGACGAGGTGATTTTTATGAATATATTGGCTATATTTACTCTCGAAAATGCTCGAGAGTATGCAAGACTACAAATCCCTGCAATCTTATGCACGTCACCTTTGCTAACAGGTAGTGTCAATTTAAAACTTGCACAACAAAAGTTCACAGAAATGTCAATTTCAAGAAATGTAGCCAATTTGTTCATAACTAAATTTAGCTAAGGCCGGAAAAAGTTGAATTACTGTTTAAAGGATGCCCCGCATTACTCTTCTCCACACCGCAAAAAAATTAAAATTATATCACAAGCATTATTTTTTGGGCAATATATGCGGCACTTTGTTTATAATGCAGTCCGCTCCCCCTTGAGGCTTTCCCAAGTTGATGCGCAAGATACCAAACAGCCTCAGATCATATTCGAGCCTCGGATTGGACAGTGAAACACACGCTCGCACCTGCAGGCGACGTGCTAATGTTTCATTTTTCTCTCATAGCTGAAGGCAGCACAAACTCCTACTATTTATGTGTCCAGGTTAAACGTGGGACGTCCCTCATTATAAACAAACAGTAGGTTAAATTCATGGTTAATGCATCATTTTCAGATCTATTAGAAGCGATTAATAGACGAAAACAACAATGTCATTGAACCAATTGACTGGCCAGAGATCAGGGCATTCATCAGCAAAGACGCAGTGCAAGCTGATAGTATTTTGGACAACCAAATTGAAGTCAAAATGATTCATGAAATCGAAGTGTGTCAGCTGTATGGTGATTTGCGATTCATAACTTACATTTTACCGGTACTACCAGTAGTAGTAGGCCAACCGATAACACCAAGACGGAATGCATTTGAAGTGATGATGCACTGCCGAAAACAGCTAGCATGTCCAGCAAAGTACATCGCCAGTGGCACGCACACACTTCGTGCAGATCAGCAGCTCCACAATGATGTGATCGACTGTCTTCCAAGGTGGGGGGCTTTTCGTGGCAGCCAGACTAGACAATCGAAGGAGGATGCGGTGAGCAAAGTTAATGGGCTCGAATTTAGTCACGCTTGCTCTATATAGATTGATGTTTCTAATTGTGCATGTTATAAACAACATTTTTTACTTTGAGGATGATAGGCTATACTCCATGGCTGGAGTTAAGTATTTTTTCCAATGCTACATTAATTTGGCAGACCTAACTAGATTGACCCTCTTTCTACAAGGCCTACTAGTCTATGAGAGGCCTAATCATTTTTATATGAATATTTTGTTAACGCCTATAAGCTATAGAGATACATTCAGGTAATTAACTCATTATTATACATCAATATTTTAATTTGATTACAATTATTTATTGTCAATCATTCTTGAATTAGATTTTTGTTTTAAATAGTCTATTCTATTACCCTATACATCACATTAAATTACAAGATTGGATTGCACATTTTCCAGTGTTAGATTCATTTCACCTAATTCGAATGATTGCCCTTTATTAACAATAGCATATTCTTCATAGAAAGGGTAGTCTATGATAGGCCTTTATATTTGTATTTTCTTAATTTGTTAAAGCCTTGTTAGGCTATACAATTAAGTAGATTAATGAACTGATAATACATTCATACATTACTTTTTTTCCCCAATAACTTTTGAATATAATATAATATTGCATTCTATTATACATCCTATGTGAATAATGTTCATTAATGTTAATTTGTGTATTAATAATAATGATAATAATAATCAGGCTGAAATGTAATATTTATCCTATTTTTCATGTCCATATAGCCTGGACATACGTTACCCGATTATCAAAAGCACTCTGGTATATGGACCCCTATCTAGAGAAGTTCAAAGAGAGACGCTTAGCCATACCAGACAGATTCCTGCAATTACCACAAGGCCTTGGATCCTAGAGCAGATCCCAGGAAACACGACACAAGGCACCAAAACTAAGTCAAGATCAGCTTCGGGATCATTGCAGTCAGCTCTCTCTCTCAATATCCCAGCCCTGGGCACACCGGAATCACTTCACAGGTATCTTTATGAATGTATTGTGTCATTTCTCTATATCAATTAAGTTTGTGGCACACTACTACTCCTTGTAGATTCATGTCAAACATACTGTGTCTGATATTGTAAAATGTCACCATTTATTCAGGAAATTTAAAACGTTTATTTTCAAAAGTAAGGGTAAGCTTTATGTTTTAAACCTCTCAAGTAAAACTGCCTGTATTCCTTGTTCATATTAGATCTCAGAGAAGATGTGGTGCGTCTAAGAGTCCATAGCAGCTTATGCATCCCACTTGGAGAAGGTGAATCAAGCAATGACCAGACATCACCAACACCCCACTCCCCTACGTACACCAGAGTCTGATGTTTTATGCTACACTGTGAGAGCATCATGCGGACCGGTCAGACCCCAGTACAGCACTCTGTTACAAGCTATGGAGAAAGTGCCACAATACCACCCCCTCTTTCTACTGAACTTTGCTCCTGAAGATAGATTCCAGAGAAGGAAATGGATTGACAACTTGAAACTTCCATTGACTTTCACTTTGTACAAGTATGCCTGTGGTAACTACCTAGGCACTCCGACATTCATATGGAAGGTATCCTCACATAGCAATGGCGTTCATGAGTCCAGGCAAGCTTCTGTCATCTCCACACTGAGAAAATAAATACCAACATACCACACTAGTGCAATGCAAAAAGCATTCCTGAACAAATACGCACATGCTGCCAAAGTCAACAGCTACTTCCTGAGAGAAATGTATCGGTTTCTGACACATGACAAGAGTTCAGCAAACGATGATGAACAGGGCCTAATTGATGAGAGTGTATCCTTGTTCCTCCCTGATGGTGATGACCCAGACCTGATCATGGATTTAAGGAAGCTGAATGGCAAACCACAATCCTCATTCCAGCCCTTTTGGGATGAAGTACAGAAGTATTTTAACGAATACACAGCTCAGGTCAACGATCGCAGACATGGGGAGTACTTGTACTTACCTTTTGCTATATCAGTTGAGGACTTGCGTGACACAGTGGAAAAGAGGCTTCCACCAGAAACTAAAATCCCATCTGCTCTCCAGTACACAGGAAGGTTTGACCTCAAGTTCATGGTCCAGTCTCGGGTGATAAGAAAGGGACAAGACTAAGTTTGTTGCAGTACAGTGGGACTGCATTAAACAGTTTGCCTGCATGTGGCAGAAGGACTGTGAAATGTTATGTGTGGATGATAAGGGAATCATCCCGGTCGGAGAACCTGGCCAGCCTATGGGGACCTGTAACAGAGGCAGACATCCAAACATTGCTCCTGTGAGTGGGCCAGTTCTAGCAGCTGCCGGCCATGATTACCACATCAGTGGACTTGTACCATCTGTCATGTTGATCCCAGACATCCCAGCATCTCCATCTAGTCCATTTTATGATGGGAAAGTTCATGTCACTGTCAAGGACAAGGTTTTCCAGCCATCCTGCCCCCTTCGACACACAGTTGAAAATCTCAGCATTCTCAGAGGAGAGAACTACAGTGAAGATGTCTCTCTCATCAAGTCAATCTTGATCATTCAATCTGATGGTGGGCCAGACCACAGAACCACACATGCCCCTGTTCAAGCATGCCACACACTCCTGTTTGTTCAACTGGATCTTGACATGCTTATCGCCTGTAGAACAGCACCAGGTGACAGCTGGACCAACCCTGCCGAGAGTGTTAATTCCCTTCTAAACTTGGGGCTTCAGGGAACAGCCCAGGCTAGGGAGAAGATCAAAGAATCAAATGAGAAGCGTGTGAAGAAGTGTAGCATAATGACAAGCCTACGTTAAACAGCCACCAAACAACCAGAACTGAAAGAGGCTTTGGAAAAGAGTATGCATCCTGTTGCAGCTCTTGTGAGTGGCCGGTTTGAGCGCCTGAAGTGGAAAGGTACACACGTAGAAGTACATCAGCCCGCAACACAGGAAGAAATTGCCAATATTGCACAGCAATTCAACATCATTGATACAGAAGTTGACATAATGCATGTCCTCTGCAGAAAAGGCCTTGACAAGGAACAGTACAAGCAATTCCAGGACATACATTTCAAGATGTCACAATACATGGTACAGATCAAGAAATGTGAGGGAGAAGATCCATGCTGGTACTGCTTAATGAATCCTCCATGCTTGCCAGAAGAACAATTTAAGAAATTAAGGTTTGTGCCTGATCCAACATTGACAGCAGACAGACGTGAGTACCAGAAATGTGATGATCTGTACAGCTTGGACACCACTGACAAGGATAGGCCTTCTCTGACACCAAATATATAAAATGTAAAGAGGAGTGCTGCCATGGTCAGTGCAAAGGTGAGAGCGACCATCAATTGTGTTTAATGTGAGAAACGAAGGTGCTTGTATGGGACTCATTTTATTGTCAACAACATTTGCATAGAAGATGCAATCTCTTCATTTATAAAAGTGTGCACTGTCTCTTTAAGACCCATGATGTCGTTCATTAACACAGTCAGTTTGAGGCTAGAGCAAAGACTATATTGATTGGGAGAGACCGGAGGCGGGGAGACTAAGTGAATGAATAACGTTTTTGGTGACAAACAGCTTTGAAATCAGCAATATTTTGCATTAAGGTTAGCATATTATCACAAACAAGGTACTAGGGTAGTAAATTGATATTAGCTTCAGCTGTAAGCTAGCAAGGAAAGTTAGCCTACAAAGCTGGAAGCTACCGGTATCTTCTTGCTTTGTAAAGTGTTCTAGCCTGTAAAGGACATTGTTTTGTGAACAGTAATTAAAATGTTCAACATTTCTACATGACATGTTGCATTAATCAAGTGTGAACTTCTGTGCAGCATGAGTGGTGATGCAGCCCAGACTCCCAGTTAGTTCAGTGGTTCCTCAGGACAGGCTAGAGCTAGCAATAAGTAAGTGGAGCAGGCACGATGCTCTTACTATAAGGGGACATCGGCTGCGCTGATAAGCAGACTTGATCCTCTCTCAAATCAGTAGACAACCTGAGACACATTTGACAGAAGTACCGAAAGTAAGAAAAATCCTAGTGCCGAACCGTTTATGTTCTAGTATCGAAAAAGTACAGACGGTGGTATACCGTGCATGCATATATATATGCTTGTGTTTCTGCATGTGTGTGTGTGTGTGTGTGTGCTGTATGTGCACCTGCACGGCCAAGCCCTGTGGTTATTACCTGTGAGAGCGCTCCCTAGGCTCCCCCTGCGGAGGTTCTTGCCGTCCTCACTGAGCGGTCTCTTGAACTTGAACTTGAGGGTGAGGCCCGAGCCGTGGATGACCTCAGGGTTACTGGACTTCCGGAAGGGCATGGACGGAGGGTACAGGATGTTATCCAACTGCAGGAGAGGTGGAAAGATGGTGGTTAGGTTAGGTCAATGGCTCCCAAAATGTGGCTCAAGAACCACACTGGTGGGTTATGGCCAATTCATATTGAAAAAAAGAGTCACAGGAACTTGGTAGTTTGGAAGCCACTGGGGTTAGGTGAACGGTGGTGGGGCTGAAGGTGGATATTGGTAAAAATGTTCCTTGGTTTTGTATCACTCAAGCCTGATTAAAGATCACTTGTGCGAGCAGCAAACAGTAAATGGACCATACAGTATCTGTTAAGGTGCTGAATTATCATGCAAGCCCACCACACAGTGATGGTAAATATTATGACTAACAACATCACAAATAGCCCTCCAGTGAGAGTACAATGTGAGTACAGTAGCTGCACTGTAAAAAAAACTCTGCATGATCAAATCCTTGTGTACACAAACACTGTAATATGTGTTGCATTGCAAACTTAGGAAAATGTTGCATCATCCTTGTAAAACCTATTAATGAGCAAATGTGTGGCAAAAAGTTTAATAGCTCAGACATCGGTAGGATTGTCAAATGTTTGCCTGCCGACAGTACTTATAACCTCTGAAAAGAGTGTCGGCAGTCGGCCTCTTTTGTGTTCTCTTTTGCCATCTCCCAAGTGGCGCAGTGGTCTAAGGCACTGCATCGCAGTGCTAGCTGTGCCACTAGAGATCCTGGTTCGAATCCAGGCTCTGTCGTAGCCGGCCGCGACCGGGAGACCCATGAGGCGGCGCACAATTGGCCAAGCGTCGTCCAGGGTAGGGGAGGGAATGGCCGGCAGGGATGTAGCTCAATTGGTAGAGCATGGCGTTTGCAACGCCAGGGTTGTGGGTTCGATTCCCACGGGGGGCCAGTATGAAAAATAAAAAATAAATAATGTATAAGAGCGTCTGCTAAATGACTAAAATGTAATGTAAAATGTGTTCACACAGCAAAGACCTTGAAGTCGTCAGCCACTGCCTTGTTAAAATCCTCTAAACCAGAAGGTGGCAATAGTGTTGTTTGGCAATGCATGTCTGTGTGTGTTGCTTAGTTTATGGTCTGGATTCTAATGTTAGCTAGCTGCGCTAATGTTGCTATTTTGTAGAACACCCAGAAAATTGAGAAAATAGAGAGCAACGGAGGGAGGCAAATTAAAAAGTAAGATAGGCTAAGTGTGCACATTTGATGTTGACATTGTTATGTGTCCTTTTTCACACTAGTTAATTTGCTAAAGTTCCAACCAGAGTTTGATTATTTGTTACAGTGTGGTTACAATGAAGAATGTAAAAGAATGAAATCAAACTAAAAAATAATGAAATCAGATACATGTCACGAGCTTGTCATTTTCCCAACTCACCTATAGAGTTCGTATTTCATCAACACTTGAGTACAAGCATATTAAGGCTATAATATCATTCAGATTAATTATTATTGTATTTGATTATAATGACATAGGGTAAAGTAAAATTCACACATAGCACCCTCTTGAACTGCCCCATATTTTTCAGCATTCTAGAACATTGACTTTGTCAATTTGTTTAATTAGAACGCATGTGAAATCTATTAAAAACACAGATTTTTGGAGGGTCTGCATTTTGAAAATGCAGACTTTTGAAAGCTAACGCGACCCCAGTACTCAACACCACTACGCCATACTAAACACCATTACTGAACACCACTATGCCATACTGAACAAGACTACTGCAGCAACAGCAGGCATGACTTGTGGGTTTTTAACCAGACTCGTTGTGATAAAAAGGCAGATAAGACTTAACACCGTTGGACTTTAACCAACCATATACAACCATAGTCAAATCAAATGAGGTCATGATTGGGCTTGGGCCAGACATTTTCGAGAAGTGCTGCTTCAGAGTACAGCTAAATTCAATAAAAACTAATTCAGTCATAAAACAACCAGAACTAATTCGGGAGGTGTATGATTCAAAGTCTGACTAGACTGGATGAACTCCTATTTATATAATAATAAACATTGTTCCTTGAGACAGATGAGGACTGACGATAGCCAGGAGATCCATATCCCTTGAAATAATTCCCCCACATACTCATGTCTTTGAATAATTAATTTACTTTCTAAAGAATCTGTCATATTACATATTATCCAATAAATTATCTAGAATGTGCGTTTGGTTGCACTAAGAAGACCCAAGAGAATAGTCGTAACCCAATCAAGGATCAGCCAACCTATTTGTGGGCCTAGGTGTTCAAGGGAAATCAACAGAGATGAATTACAGTGATGTTACAGGGTGCTGTAATTTAGAAGGAAAGACAGATTATAACTCAGTCTCAGCACTGCAGTGCCCTCTGTAAGCACGCTCAACATTTTTAACTATCACTGGTAAACTCAGTCACCCTCCAGGTTATGACAACTGTCAACAGTCTGCCTTCGTCAGTAATATCAGACAAATCTGTTATTGAGGGACAGCCTGAATGACCCCATGTACTATATGGTGTTGGTTCAAAGTAACCCTAAACTATGGTCTAGGGTGAAATATTTCCAAGCTCAGGCTGACCCTCAAAAACTAGCGGTTGGTCTGTATATCAGCCTAAAAGAGGAACCAGGGCCAAACGGCTACAAATCCAGAAAGGAAAGTAGTCAGGGTAACGCTTCCCATCTGTACATGTCATAAAAGTCATGTCATACAGCAGTTGTGTTAAGGTGACACAGAATGTAGTTAGTTACATCTATACAAAATATTGTAAAGTCAACAGGTAATGGAACTGTATAGTAATGATGACAATCAAATGGATGAGTAAACGTGTTATTTACAGGGGGTTTCATATGTGGACAACTACAAATACCTAGGTGTCTGGTTAGACCGTAAACTCTCCTTCCAGACTCACATTAATCATCTCCAATCCAAAGTTAAATCTAGCATCGGCTTCCTATTTCGCAACAAAGCCTCCTTACATTTTACATTTACATTTTAGTCATTTAGCAGACGCTGTTCATACTGGCCCCCCGTGGGAATCGAACCCACAACCCTGGCGTTGCAAACGCCATGCTCTACCAACTGAGCTACACGGGTCCTTCACTCATGCTGCTAAACATGCCCTCGTAAAACTGACTATCCTACTGATCCTTGACTTCGGCGATGTCATTTACAAAATAGCTTCCAACACTCTACTCAGCAAATTGGATGTAGTCTATCACAGTGCCATCCGTTTTGTCACCAAAGCCCCATATACTACCCACCATTGTGACCTGTACGCTCTCGTTGGCTGACCCTCACTACATATTTGTCGCCAAACCCTCTGGCTCCAGGTCATCGATAAATCACTTCTAGGCAAATCCCCGCCTTATCTTAGCTCATTGGTCACCATAGCAACACCCACCCGTAGTATGCGTTCCAGCAGGTATATCTCACTGGTCATCCCCAAAGCCAACACCTCCTTTGGTCACCATTCCTTCCAGTTCTCTGCTGCAAATGACTGGAACGAACTGCAAAAATCTCTTAAGCTGGAGACACTCATCTCCCTCACTATGTTTAAGCATCAGTTGTCAGAGCAGCTTACCGATCACTGCACCTGTACACAGCCCATCTGTAATTAGCCCACCCAACTACCTCATCCCCATAATGTTATTTATTTTGCTCATTTGCACCCCAGTATCTCTATTTGCACATCATCTTCTGCACATCTATCACTCCAGTGTTAATACTAAATTATAATTGTAATTATTTTGCACTATGGCCTATTTATTGCCTTACCTCCATAACTTACTACATTTGCACACACTGTATATAGATTTTCTATTGTGTTATTGACTGTACGTTTTGTTTATTCCATATGTAACTCTGTGTTGTTGTTGTTTTTACCGCACTGCTTTGCTTTATCTTGGCCAGGTCGCAGTTGTAAATGAGAACTTGTTCTCAACTGGCTTACCTGGTTAAATAAAGGTGAAATAAAAATAAATAAAAATACTTAAAAGATACAAAACGGTGGTCAACTGCTACAGGAAGTCAACATTGTTCATTTGTTTTTGAATTTACAAAAAAAAATAAAAAAAGTTTATGTCATCCCTTGTAAGTCAAAACTCCCAAAGCAAAGTGGGATTTGGACACATGCTGAAGGGTTGGCGTCTGTACGACCCTTGACCTGCCATTGCTTTCCTTCTGCGCCCGAGTGCACTGTTCGAGCAATGCATCACCCAACATCCCTCAAGATTCTCCTCCCCCATCCACACTCAGTGGACAGTACCAACAGTCTTCTGTTGCCACAGCAAAAAGCAGAAAGACACAGCTCCTTTCATGAGCAAGAGGTGTGACTGGTGGTTGGTGAGCTTGTGACTGGTGGTTGGTGAGCTGCTTGAGGAAGAGGCCAGCTCAGTTTACTAATTCTGTAGATGAGGTCACTGGAACTTTGTAGCCTATATGGCCAGAAGGGAATTGTCTGCCTATATGACAGTGGGTGGATTGAATGAGGTCATTTCTATGTAAAAGGACTCATGAGCACCAACATGTGAAGCTCATTTGGGTGTCAAATGAAAACTAAGAGTCTATATTGTTGAGAAATGAAGGCATACATACATACAGTTGAAGTCAGAAGTTTACATACACTTAGGTTGGAGTCATTAAAACTTGTTTTTCAACCACTACACACATTTCTTGTTAACAAACTATAGTTTTGGCAAGTCGGTTAGGACATCTACATTTTTCCAACAATTGTTTACAGACAGATTATTTCACTTATAATTCACTATCACACAATTCCAGTGGGTCAGAAGTTTACATACACTAAGTTGACTGTGCCTTTAAACAGCTTGGAAAATTCCAGAAAATGATGTCATTGCTTTAGAAGCTTCTGATAGGCTAATTGACATCATTTGAGTCAATCGGAGGTGTACCTGTGGATGTATTTCAAGGCCTACCTTCAAACTCAGTGCCTCTATGCTTGACATCATGGGAAAATCAAAAGAAATCAGCCAAGACCTCAGAAAAAGAATTGTAGACCTCCACAAGTCTAATTCATCCTTGGGAGCAATTTCCAAATGCCTGAAGGTACCACGTTCATCTGTACAAACAATAGTATGCAAGTATAAACACCATGGGACCACGCAGCCGTCATACCGCTCAGGAAGGAGACGCGTTCTGTCTCCTAGAGATGAACATACTTTGATGCGAAAAGTGCAAATCAATCCCAGAACAACAGCAAAGGACCTTGTGAAGATTCTGGAGGAAACAGGTACAAAAGTATCTATATCCACAGTAAAACGAGTCCTATATCGACATAACCTGAAAGGCCGCTCAGCAAGGAAGAAGCCACTGCTCCAAAACCGAAATAAAAAAGCCAGATCTTAATTTTTTGAGAAATGTCCTCTGGTCTGATGAAACAAAAATAGAACTGTTTGGCCATAATGACCATCGTTATTTTTGGAGGAAAAAGGGTAAGGCTTGCAAGCTGAAGAACACCATCCCAACCGTGAAGCACGGGGGTGGCAGCTTCATGCTGTGGGGTGCTTTGCTGCAGGAGGGGCTGGTGCACTTCACAAAATAGATGGCATCATGAGGAAGGAAAATGATGTGGATATTATGAAGCAACATCTTAAGACATCAGTCAGGAAGTTAAAGCTTGGTCGCAAATGGGTCTTCCAAATGGACAATGACCCCAAGCATACTTCCAAAGTTGTGGCAAAATGGCTTAAGGACAACAAAGTCAAGGTATTGGAGTGGCCATCACAAAGCCCTGACCTCACTCCTATAGAAATTTGTGGGCAGAACTGAAAAAGCGTGTGCGAGCAAGGAGGCCTACAAACCTGACTCTGTTACACCAGCTCTGTCAGGAGGAATGGGCCAAAATTCACCCAACCTATTGTGGGAAGCTTGTTGAAGTCTACCCGAAACGTTTGACCCAAGTTACAGTGAGGAAAAAAAGTATTTGAACCCCTGCTGATTATGTACGTTTGCCCACTGACAAAGAAATGATCAGTCTATAATTTTAATGGTAGGTTTATTTGAACAGTGAGAGACAGAATAACAACAACAAAATCCAGAAAAACACATGTCAAAAATGTTATAAATTGATTTGCATTTTAATGAGGGAAATAAGTATTTGACCCCTCTGCAAAACATGACTTAGTACTTGGTGGCAAAACCCTTGTTGGCAATCACAGAGGTCAGACGTTTCTTGTAGTTGGCCCCCAGGTTTGCACACATCTCAGGAGGGATTTTTTTCTTTCCACTCCTCGTTGCAGATCTTCTCCAAGTCATTAAGGTTTCGAGGCTGACATTTGGCAACTCAAACCTTCAGCTCCCTCCACAGATTTTCTATGGGATTAAGGTCTGGAGACTGGCTAGGCCATTCCAGGACCTTAATGTACTTCTTCTTGAGCCACTCCTTTGTTGCCTTGGCCGTGTGTTTTGGGTCATTGTCATGCTGGAATACCCATCCACGACCCATTTTCAATGCCCTGGCTGAGGGAAGGAGGTTCTCACCCAAGATTTGACGGTACATGGCCCCATCCATTGTCCCTTTGATGCGGTGAAGTTGTCCTGTCCCCTTAGCAGAAAAACACCCCCAAAGCATAATGTTTCCACCTCCATGTTTGACGGTGGGGATTGTGTTATTGGGGTCATAGGCAGCATTCCTCCTCCTCCAAACACGGCAAGTTGAATTGATGCCAAATAGCTCGATTTTGGTCTCATCTGACCACAACACTTTCACCCAGTTCTCCTCTGAATCATTCAGATGTTCATTGGCAAACTTCAGACGGGCCTGTATATGTGCTTTCTTGAGCAGGGGGACCTTGTGGGCGCTGCAGGATTTCAGTCCTTCACGGCGTAGTGTGTTACCAATTGTTTTCTTGGTGACTATGGTCCCAGCTGCCTTGAGATCATTGACAAGATCCTCCCGTGTAGTTCTGGGCTGATTCCTCACCGTTCTCATGATCATTGCAACTCCATGAGGTGAGATCTTGCATGGAGCCCCAGGCCGAGGGAGATTTACAGTCTTTTGTGTTTCTTCCATTTGCAAATAATCGCACCAACTGTTGTCACCTTCTCACCAAGCTGCTTGGCAATGGTCTTGTAGCCCATTCCAGCCTTGTGTAGGTCTACAATCTTGTCCCTGACATCCTTGGAGAGCTCTTTGGTCTTGGCCATGGTGGAGAGTTTGGAATCTGATTGATTGATTGCTTCTGTGGACAGGTGTCTTTTATACAGGTAACAAGCTGAGATTATTAGGAGCACTCCCTTTAAGAGTGTGCTCCTAATCTCAGCTCGTTACCTGTATAAAAGACACCTGGGAGCCAGAAATCTTTCTGATTGAGAGGGGGTCAAATACTTATTTCCCTCATTAAAATGCAAATCAATTTATAACATTTTTGACATGCGTTTTTCTGGATTTTTCTGTTGTTATTCTGTCTCTCACTGTTCAAATAAACCTACCATTAAAATTATAGACTGATCATTTCTTTGTCAGTGGGCAAACGTACAAAATCAGCAGGGGATCAAATACTTTTTTCCCCTCACTGTATGTTTTTATTTTCTATACATTTGCAAAAATTTCAATATAATTAGTGTGTAGATTGATGAGGGAAAAAACAATGTAATCAACTTTAGAATAAGGCTATAACGTAACAAAATGTGGAAAAAGTCAAGGGGTCTGAATACTTTCCGAATGCACTGTATATTAAACTGTATTTTTGTCATGTAATACTGTGTGGAAAAGAGCCATGTATGTGAAATGTATTTAGGAAAATACACTGTATATACAAAAGTACGTGGACACCCCTTCAAATTAGTGGCTTCGGCTATTTCAGCCACACCCGTTGCTGACAGGTGTATAAAATCGAGCACACAGCCATGCAATCTCCATAGCCAAACACTGGCAATAGCATGGCCTTACTGAAGAGCTCAGTGACACAACGTGGAACCGTCATAGGACGCCACCTTTCCAACAAGTCAGTTCGTCAAATGTCTGCCCTGCTAGATCTGCTCCAGTCAACTGTAAGTAATGTTATTGTGAAGTGGAAACGTCTAGGAGCATCAATGGCTCAGTCGCAGAAGTGGTAGGCCACACAAGCTCACAGAACGGGACCACTGAGTACTGAGGAACGTAAAAAATAATCTGTCCTCGGTTGCATCACTCACTACAGAGCTCCAAACTGCCTCTGGAAGCAACGTCAGCACAATAGCTGTTCGTTGGGAGCTCAATAAAATGGGTTTCCATCGCGGAGCAGCCGCACACAAGCATAAGATCGCAACGTCAAGAGTCGGCTGGAGTGGTGTAAAGCTCGCTGCCATTGGACTCTGGAGCAGTGGAAACTCGTTCTCTGGAGTGATGAATCACACTTCACTATCTGGCAGTCCAACAGAGAAATCTGGGTTTGTCGGATGCCAGGAGAACGCTACCTGGCCCAATGCATAGTACCAACTATAAAGTTTGGTGGAGGATGAATAATGGTCTGGGGCGGTTTCTCATGGTTTGGGCTAGGCCCCTTAGTTCCAGTGAAGGGACATTTTAACGCTACAGCATACAATGACATTCGAGACGATTCTGTTCTTCCAACTTTGTGGCAACAGTTTGGGGAAGGCCCTTTCCTGTTTCAGAATGACAATGCCCCTGTGCACAAAGCGAGGTCCATACAAAAATGGTTTGTCGAGATCGGTGTGGAAGAACTTGACTGGCCTGCACAGAGCCCTGACCTCAACCCCATCGAACACGTTTGGGATTAATTGGAACACCGAATGCGAGCCAGGCCTAATCGCCCAACATCCGTGCCCGACCTCACTAATGCTCTTGTGGCTGAATGGAAGCAGGTCCCCACAGTAATGTTCCAACATCTAGTGGAAAACCTTCCCAGAAGAGTGGAGGCTGTTATAGCAGCAAAGGTGGGGGGGATCAACTCCATTTTAATGCCCATGATTGTGGAATGAGATGTTCGACGAGCCGGTGTCAACATATGTTTTGGGGGGGGGAATCATAGTAGCCACAAACCACAGTTGGGTTCACAAGTTTGGACAGTACAGTACAGTAAAGAAAAGTAGAGCACACTAGAGTTGAGTACACTATAACGTACTGAACTCTGCTGTACTCTACTGTGCTGTGCTGCACAGTACTTCGATTTCCAAACTTGTGAAACATAGACGTCTATGATTTGGTTAAGATTTGGTCCGGTCCAACCAACTTTGCATCAGTAAATTTGTTTTTGTACAATTTTCTGTGTAAATTGTTAAAAGTAGTCCTTGTGCATAGAGTTGCATGGTTTATTAAACTTTGAAATCAAATGGATTTTATTTCACATACATTTTAAGTGAGAAATCGGAGTCTCCATTTCCGTGCATTTGCCCATGACACATTCAGTCGACTACCTCTCAGATGAGATAAAGGGTCATGAAAAAGCCGATACAGCATATTGGTGAGTTGCTGAAGAAAGAAGCACCATCTGATAGAGTACATATTCATCCATTAACACTAAATGCGGCGAGACAAACAAACAAACAACCACCTGCAAAACAAATGGAGGTTCAGGTGTAACAAAACACTAAGTCGTCTGCTGCTGCTGCTTCATTTGCATAAAACATTACGGACCTCGCAGTTGTCAAATCAAGACTTGAAGAGTGATTGCTGATAAACTAGACTGTTGAAAGCCCTCGCATTAAAATGACTTGTCTCAAACTGAGAAAGTTATCAAGAGCAGAGAAAGAGAGAGGGAGAGAGTAAGAAAGGGGGAGAGAGTGAGAAAGAAAAACAGGGAGAGACAGATGGAGTCCATAAAAAGAAAAAATGATTTGAACAACTTGGATGAGACATACAGGCATACATTAAGTACAGAAAGGGTTGTCTGAGCGCAGTGTTAAGTCATCTTTCCTTGGCATGAGAGGAAACTTTAAAAGGGGATCAGAGAGTAGCAGTGCAGTACAAGGCAGAACAAACACAGTGGAGCCAGCCGGCCCGGTACTTCCAACACTGACCTTGACCTGACCATCTCAGCCTACAGAGAGACCACATGCACAACACTCAGAGGCAACTTATCTCCTCAGACGGGTGTCCTTGTGTTTGCCGTTCAGTATTTATTATAACCCCCCTCCCTCTCTCTCTCCAACTACGGATCTAGGAGCACAGAGACTGAACACACAGATGAGAGATCTAAAAGGGCAAACACAGAAACAGAAGTAAAAGCAGAGATGAGGAATATTTAAAAAGGCAAAAGCAGGAACAGTCTGTGCAGCTACCATATCCTCAAAGTCCCACTCCCCCACTTATCAGCTGTGACTGTCTGCATTAAACATTTGCTCAGCTTGCCTGAGCAAATTAACTACTCTTTTAGAAAAGCCTGTTTGTCTACAGTACTTTACTCATGCTATCTGTTCTCAGTCAATGGCCTCTCCATAGCACTGACCACTGAACAGAAATGAGAGGCTTGCTATAGCCCATCTAGAGAGAGGCAATGCCGTTCAACTCAAACACATCACTGACAAGCAGATTAAAACAATATCTGAACAAGTCAACTACATTATTGATGGCAGCCCTTTTTTCGCATTAAGTGTTGGCGAAGTCACTTCAGAATTCATCAGGCACTCCGATGATGTCATCTATCTAGGGTACTGTAGGTTCTACACAACACAACCAATCTGACTGCGAGATTTGGCATCATGCATTTTCACATACAAGATTGAAAGATTCATTGGTTAGAGAGCGGACAAGGAAAGATCACGTCATGGCCATAGCAGCAAATCCACAACAGTGGGTTGTCATGGTCAAGCTCATTCGAAACAAGTGGACATACAAACACACTCCTTTGAAGTATAACCTATTGTACATAATATGGTAATTTTTAGCAAGGCACTTTTATCCAAGCGTCTAACAGTAACCACATTCAATAGGCCTACAGTATGTGGCCTATGCAGGAGTCAAACCGACCACAACCCTGGTGTTACCAGCATGCTCAAACCCACCTTGCCATTGGAACCACATACTATAGCCTTTCATACAATTCTATCAGACTTAGATTTTACAAGCGATCAAAATGAAGCGGTCTTCCTCATGTGCATAATAACACATTGAATTATGAACAAGGGAAGAGAACAAAGCTGACTATGACATTTCACTGCTGTCCAGCAGAATCTGTACTAAAGTTCACGACAGCCAGTGAGTAGTTTCAGCCACTGGGTGTATTTCACTCTCTCAGACACATGGCTCTCATCTACACAATTGCTTTGAACCAAGAGGACATTTTCTATAGCCAGGGCATCCTCCCTTTAAGATTGACAACACCAAGTGGGGTAATATGGACAGAATACCCCTCAAACCCCAGCCCAACTCTGCTAGAAGAATACTCCCAAAAATCTAGGCAAAAGGGCACAAACGGTTGGCTGAAGAGAAACCTTTCCTCCAATTCAGCAGTTTTCCACCCAGTAACCCACCTCAGAAATAGCCTTGTAAATGTTGACACCCTAGACTTCATATTTGGTAGCACATACTCAGAGGTGGCCAACTACAAGAAACGTCTGACCTCTGTGATTGCCAACAAGGATTTTGCCACCAAGTACTAAATCATGTTTTGTAGAGGGGTCAAATACTTATTTCCCTCATTTAAAATGCAAATCAATTTATAACATTTTTGACATGCGTTTTTCTGGATTTTGTTGTTGTTATTCTGTCTCTCACTGTTCAAATAAACCTACCATAAAAATTATAGACTGATCATTTCTTTGTCATTTACATTTTTACATTTTAGTCATTTAGCAGACGCTCTTATCCAGAGCGACTTACAGGAGCATTTAGGGTTAAGTGCCTTGCTTAAGGGCACATCGACAGATTTTTCACCTAGTCGGCTCGGGGATTAGAACCAGTGACCTTTCGGTTACTGGCACAACGCTCTTACCCACTAAGCTACCTGATTTTGTACGTTTGTCAGTGGGCAAACGTACAAAATCAGCAGGGGATCAAATACTTTTTTCCCTCACTGTAGAAAGAGGAGTGGGAGGCCCCTGTGCACAACTGAGCAAGAGGACAAATACATTAGTGTCTAGTTTGAGAAACAGACGCCTCACAGGTCCTCAACTGGCAGCTTCATTAAATAGTACCCGCAAAACACCAGTCTCAACAGTGAAGAGGCGACTCTGGGATGCTGACCTTCTAGGCAGAGTTGCAAAGAAAAACTCATATCTCAGACTGGCCAATAAAAATAAAAGATGAAGATGGGCAGTCTGAGATATGGCTTTTTCATTGCATTGCTGTGTGCTCGATTTTAAAGATACACCTGTCAGCAACGGGTGTGGCTGAAATAGCCAAATCCAATAATTTGAAGGGGTGTCCACACACTTTTGTATATATAGTGTATGTGTACAATACAATGTAATTTTATATGATTTCATTTGAAGTGAGTGCTATGGGGCAATAGCCATTTACAGTGAGCGCCGAAGGTATTGGGACTGTGACACATTTGTTGTTTTGGCTCTGTACTCCAATATTTTGGATTTGCAATGATACAATGACTATGAGGTTAAAGCGCAGACTGTCAGCTTTAATTTGCATGCATACATACATACACACTACATGACCAAAAGTATGTAGACACCTGCTCGTCGTACATCTCATTCCAAAATCATGGTTATTAATATTGAGTTGGTCCCCCCCTTTGCTGCTATAACAGCCTCCACTCTTCTGGGAAGGCTTTCCACTAGATGTTGGAACATTGCTGTGGGGACTTGCTACCATTCAGCCACAAGCCTTAGTGAGGTCGGGCACTAACGTTGCGTGATTAGGCCTGGCTCACAGTCGGCGTTCCAATTCATCCCGAAGGTGTTCGATGGAGTTGAGTTCAGGGCTCTGTGCAGGCCAGTCAAGTTCTTCAACACCGATCTCGACAAACCATTTCTGTATGGACCTCACTTTGTGAACGGGGGCATTGTCATGCTGAAACAGGAAAGGGCCTTCCCCAAACTGTTGCCACAAAGTTGGAAGCACAGAATTGTCTAGAATGTCATTGTATGCTGTAGCATTAAGATTTACCTTCACTGGTACTAAGGGGCCTAGCCCAAACCATGAAAAACAGCCCCAGACCATTACTCCTCCTCCACCAAACATTACAGTTGGCACTATGCATTGGGGCAGGTAGCGTTCTCCTGGCATCTGCCAAACCCAGATTTGTCCGTTGGACTGCCAGAGGGTGAAGCGTGATTCATCACTCCAGAGAATGTATTTTCCACTGCTCCAGAGTCCAATGGCGGTGAGCTTTACACCACTCCAGCCTACGCTTTGCATTGCGCATGGTGATCTTAGGCTTGTTTGCGGCTGCTCGGCCATGGAAACCCATTTCTTGAAGCTCCCGACGAACAGTTATTGTGCTGACGTTGCTTCCAGAGGTAGTTTGGAACTCTGTAGTGAGTGTTGCAACTGAGGATAGACTATTTTTATGCACTTCAGCACTCGCGGTCCCGTTCTTTGAGCTTGTGTGGCCTACCACTTCGCAGCTGAGCCATTGTTGCTCCTAGACCTTTCCACTTCACAATAACAGCACTTAAAGTTGATCAGGGCAGCTCTAGCAGGGCAGAAACTTTACAAACTGACTTGTTGCATGGAGCCCCAGGCCGAGGGAGATTTACAGTCTTTTGTGTTTCTTCCATTTGCGAATAATCGCACCAACTGTTGTCACCTTCTCACCAAGCTGCTTGGCGATGGTCTTGTAGCCCATTCCAGCCTTGTGTAGGTCTACAATCTTGTCCCTGACATCCTTGGAGAGCTCTTTGGTAGCCAAGCATGGACAATCTCAAGAGACCTTAATGTTATCAAGAAGTTCAAGGCCCATGCCACTCTAGCCAACCTCCCTGGACATGGCCGCAAGAGAAAACTTGATGGAATATTGCAGCAAAGTATTGTTCGAATGGTGGATAAAAATCCTCGATCAACTGCCACACAGATTCAAACTGACCTTCAGACACAAGGTATGACAGTTTCAACTCGCTCCATCCGTCGCCAACTCAATAAAACAGGGTTATATGGTAGGAGACCCAGGAGGACCCCACTGCTGAGAGAGACACATAAGAAAGCCCGACTGCAATTTGCCAAAACACACCTGAACATGCCAAAATACTTCTGGGAGAATGTCCTGTGGACAGATGAGACCAAATTAGAGCTTTTTGGTTAAGCACACTATCTCTATGTTTACAGAAAACAAAATTAAGCCTTAAAAAAAAAACACATTCCCTACAGTCAAACATGGAGGTTCAGTGATGTTTTGGGATTGCTTTGCTGCATCTGGCACTGAACGTGTGCATGGCATCATGAAATCAGGAGAATACGAAGGCATTTTGGAGCACAATGTCAGACTCAGTGTCAGAAAGCGGTGTCTCCGTCGAAGGTCATGGGTCTTCCAGCAGGACAATGACCCCAAACACACTTCAAAAAGCACCCAGGAATGGTATAAGACAAAACGCTGGACTATTCTGAAGTGGCCAGCAAGGAGTCCATCTCGAAATCCCATTGAAAACTTGTGGAGAGATAGGAAAACAGCAGTTGGGAGAAAGCACTCTTCAAATCTGGGAGAACTAGACAAGTTTGCACAAGAGAAGTGGGCCAAACTGCCAGCACAGAGGCGCAGGAAGCTTATCGATGGCTATAGGAAGCGCTTGATTCTAGTTATTTGTAGTTATGTGCTACCAAATATTAAGTCTAGGGTGTCAATTTTGTCGATTTCTGTTTATTTTCTGACTTAAAATCGATATATTAAGTTCTTAATAAAAAACAAAGGTTCTGTAATATTAACAGTGAAATAAAGAACTGTGGAGACCAAACAACTTATTTTTAGGGAAACTTGAAAAAAGTGCAAGGGTGCCAATATTTTTGGCCACTGTGGTCTGCGGTTTTGAGGCAGGTTGGACATACTGACATATTCTCTAAAACAACGTTAGCGGCGGATTATGGTAGAGAAATTAACATTAAATAAATAATACCTTTGAAGACTTTCTGGTAGACGTTTTCTAAGACCCCTTTTCTATGGGTTTAACAAGAAATCAGAGCAATTGCTTATTCCTAATTTTTTGGATGGAAAATGTATATATATATATATATATATATATATATATATATATATATATATATATATATATATATATGCCTTAATTTCTCAAAAATATAGACTGTTCGCTTTCATTTGACACCCAATTTGATATGCTCCTATCACTTGGAAGTGCTATAGATTGGAGAAGAGATGTGTGTTGGATGGAAAGATGTGTGTAGGCCTGCACAGCTCATTAGAATCACAAAAGGAAAATCCACAATAACGTGATTGGTGTACAAATAAGAATAAACATGAAGCCCATTTCTCTAACACAAGGGAAATCATGCATACATACAGGGATATTGAGCAGCAGCAAACAAGCTGTTCTGATCTAGAACGAACCCAGAATTCCTGATCAGCCCACAGACATGAAAAAACATGACTGTATAAACACCTGGAAATTGTTTCAGTACTAGTGTTCAAAGGCGGACATTTTCACATGGCATAGTGGTAGAGTAAGTAACATTCCAGGGACCTGGGCTTGTGCAAGGACCACAAGTTGACAAACACTGTACTAGTCTGTTATTGAAATCCAAAAGGTTCGTTCCACCTCAAAAACCACAAGAAAGAGGATTGACACCCGCCATCTCAGATTGTTCTGAAATCGTTTCTGTAGTTAGTAACAGACACTATTAGCATTCCTGAAACATTATTTTGTTTAAATATAATTTGATCTCGGAAAAACATAGAGAACTGATACTGTATACTGGATGTTGGGTGGGATTGGCATGGGGTGTGAGGGGTCCATTGGTGGCTTTTGACAATTTTTTGGGGATTCCCATGTCTTACTCATTGGTAGGAAGAAGTTTGGTCCAAATCGGATGTTGGGTACTATATTTATTGAATATTACCTGAATCCTATACATTAAAATGACAATTTTGGGCACAATCAATGCTTAATTTCTCAGAGATAAAATAAAATGTCAACACAATAAATGTTTCAGGAATGCCAGTGTTACCCGTTTCTAACTACAGAAACAATTCCTGAACAATCTGAGAAGGTGGGTGTCATGGCTTGCAAATGACATGGAACAACGCAAAAGGTTAAAAAAAAACACATCCTTTTCTCAATCATCCCACCAGGATGTTTGAAAGGTATTGCTACGTTTTAGGACACTGAAATAATCTGCTCTATAAATTGCAGAGAGGCCCAGGAGCAACAGTTGTATTACTGTGGATAAAATGCTGAGTTGTGTGTGAACAACTGCAACAATGTTTTCCAAGTTAGCCCATATTTCATCGAATCAAAACATCCGTCTCCAAATAAGAACGGTTTTATTTACCAGGACTCCTTCCTTCCTGTCCTTATACACCAAACATACATAACTGTAGCCATATCTGGCTGGACCACCAGGCGCGGATTTCATGAGGTAAGTGTAGACAGAGACAGACAGTACTGCTAAGATGCAGCTGGACTGATATAAACACAGGGTTCAATTCAAGTTTGCAGCATTTCATTTTTCATGCAGTAGGCTTTTTTCCAATGGCCCAAAAAACTCTCAGGATGATTTTGGGGTAGTGTAAAAACCTGCAACTACCAGTTAAGACTCCACTCACAGATAGATGGTACTCATTTTCAGAATAAGAAGCACGTATGTGTGTGTTGTCCGTAAACAAAGAAGTACATAAACCCAGCTATGGCGTGTGTTCCATTTGAAATACAAACACAGCCTAACGCAAACACAGCCTGAGGAGATGTCACAGATAAGCCACTCTTCCCAGAAGCCCCTTAATGGCATGACATAGCTAAAGTTACAGGTCAGAGATTAGAGGTTAGGGGTCAGGGGTCTAGCCGTGTAACTGGGCCATGTCCCCAATGGTGGTAACCTGACATGGCTTTAAAGGGGTAATGGGGCATTGACGTGTTGAATTAGCTCTGCATAGGAGTCGCCCTTAAATACAGATCAAGTATCAGATTACCCTACTCCCAATATTAGCCTTTGAGATTAGGCAGGTGAATAATATAACTAACCCTGAATCAGGGGTTAGGGGCAACTTCCACCTTCACAATCAAAATCTGTCTATCAAATGTACAGTATTTAATAATACATTGAAATGGAATTGTCTCCATATTGCTTGAACCTATCAAGTCATTTCAGATCTACAGGAGTACCTTAGCCACAGGGTCGGGCTAGGGGTCGATTTGGAATTCAACAGTAGTTTCGTAGAGCCAATCCAGTTTCTCCAGAGAAAAAGCTTGGGTAACGCCTGGGGTATGTTCACAACAACTAAACAGCTGTGTGGATGTCTAAGATAAGAGATTGATGATAGGTAAATTGTGACTCAGATAAGTGTTTGAAACGTTGCAGATCCTGAACACGCCCACTGGTTAGATCAGCAAGGTTAAACCCTACACCAATTAAGCTGATCAGAACCAGTGAAGACAAAGAAGAACATCAAGACGAAGCAGACGTTTTACAAATGGGATGCACTGTTGAGCACTACATCCCGAGGGGTTCGTGCTGATTGTACAGAGATTGTGACAGCCGGTTAAATGGCGTCGAAGAGAGAAAGAGGGTGAGCTTGAGTCGGTTAAACATGGCGGAACAAAGGGAGATGATTTGTTAAAGAAGAATGGTAGAAAGTATAAGCAGAGTGAGCTGTACGCCAGATCGAAGACAGGAGGAGAAATGGAAGTGAATGAGGGCTTGGTAGGTATCGGAGTTGGTAGGTGTGGTGAAGTTCTCGGAGCCTGAGGCTTGCACCGAGGGTCAGGATAAAGAGGAGTCTGTGACAGTAGGAGTGACGTTTTGGGAAAGAGTGGACCCTTGCCTTTTGGCTGATCCATTTGTGGTTTCAGGGTGGGTGAAATCAGAGTTGGGTGCTGTGGAATCGGTGAGGGTAACCAGATGTGGTCTTGTGATAATTGTTTGTGTTTCTGCTGGTCAAAGGGAGCAGGCGCTCTGGGTTAAATGAATCGGAACAAGAGAGATTAATTGTTTTGCTCTCAAGGGTGCCATTGAGAGGAGTGATTACTGGGGTAAATGTGAAAGTTGACCAACTGAAGGGGAAGATTCCCGGTGATTGCGACGCAGACAGGGTGGCGTGAGTGGTGAAACAGAAGAGTCGTTGTCTGTCCTTTTGAGTTTTGATGTTGAGTCTTTGCCCGTCAAAGTGATATTAGGATATACAGTTGAAGTCGGAAGTTTACATACACTTAGGTTGGAGTCATTAAAACTCGTTTTTCAACCACTCCACAAATGTCTTGTCAACAAACTATAGTTTTGGCAAGTCGGTTTGGACATCTACTTTGTACATGACACAAGTCTTTTTACAGACAGATTATTTCACTTATAATTCACTGTATCACAATTCCAGTGGGTCAGAAGTTTACATACACTAAGTTGACTGTGCCTTTAAACAGCTTGGAAAATTCCAGAAAATGATGTCATGGCTTTAGAAGCTTCTGATAGGCTAATTGACATCATTTGAGTCAATTGGAGGTGTACCTGTGGATGTATTTCAAGGCCTACCTTCAAACTCAGTGCCTCTTTGCTTGACATCATGGGAAAATCAAAAGAAATCCGAAAGAAAATTGTAGACCTCCACAAGTCTGGTTAATCCTTGGGAGCAATTTCCAAACCCCTGAAGGTACCACGTTCATCTGTACAAACAATAGTACGCAAGTATAAACACCATGGGACCACACAGCCGTCATACCGCTCAGGAAGGAGACGTGTTCTGTCTCCTAGAGATGAACGTACTTTGGTGCGAAAAGTGCAAATCAATCCCAGAACAACAGCAAAGGACCTTGTGAAGATGATGGAGGAAACAGGTACAAAAGTATCTATATCCAGAGTAAAATGAGTCATATCGACATAACCTGAAAGGCCGCTCAGCAAGGAAGAAGCCACTGCTCCAAAACCGCCATAAAAAAGCCAGACTACGGTTTGCATCTGCACATGGGGACAAAGATCATACTTTTTTGAGAAATGTCCTCTGGTCTGATGAAACAAAAATAGAACTGTTTGGCCATAATGACCATCGTTATGTTTGGAGGAAAACAGGGGTTGCTTGCAAGCCGAAGAACACCATCCCAACCGTGAAGCATGGGGGTGGCAGCATCATGCTGTGCGGGTGCTTTTCTGCAGGAGGGGCTGGTGCACTTCACAAAATAGATGGCGTCATGAGGAAGGAAAATTATGTGGATATATTGAAGCAACATCTCAAGACATCAGTCAGGAAGTTAAAGCTTGGACGCAAATGGGTCTTCCAAATGGACAATAACCCCAAGCATACTTCCAAAGTTGTGGCAAAATGGCTTAAGGACAACAAAGTCAAGGTATTGGAGTGGCCATCACAAAGCCCTGACCTCAATCCTATAGAAAATGTGTGGGCAGAACTGAAAAAGCATGTGTACGCAAGGAGGCCTACAAACCTGACTCAGTTACACCAGCTCTGTCAGGAGGAATGGGCCAAAATTCACCCAACTTATTGTGGGAAGCTTGTGGAAGGCTACGCGAAAAGTTTGACCCAAGTTAAACTATTTAAAGGCAATGCTACCAAATACTAATTGAGTATATGTAAACTTCTGACCCACTGGGAATGTGATGAAAGAAATAAAAGCTGAAATAAATAATTCTCTCTACTGTTATTCTGACATTTCACATTCTTAAAATAAAGTGGTGATCCTAACTGACCTAAGACCGGGAATTTTTACTAGGATTAAATGTCAGGAATTGTGAAAAACTGAGTTTAAATGGATTTGGCTAAGGTGTATGTAAACTTCCGACTTCAACTGTATAAGTTATCCCATACAAGCTTTGGTGCCGAATACATTACGTTGCTACAGATGTCAAGCTTATGGGCATGTGGCAGCAGAATGTAGGAGGGAGGTGTGAGAAGTGTACAGAAGGGCATGAGACAAAGGAATGTGTTGCATTGGGGAAAGTAGTGGTATGTGTTAATTGTAGGGGTGCCCATGGGGCTGGGGATCAGAAATGTCCGGTGCGAGAGAGGCAGGTTGAGGTTTCCAGGGTTAGAGTAGTGCAGAAGTTGTCATGCTGAGGCAGTGAAGAAAGTAGAGGAAGATGGGTCAAGGGGGAGGGATCCTGAGAGGAGTGGTGTGAATAGTAGAGCTGTACCAGTACAGAGGGATAGGCTAACAAGTGAAATATGTTTCAGTAAGATTGGATGTTTAGCATTTAAAGCAATGGTTATCAACTGTACTGCAGGGATGAAATGTAAGTCGCAGAAAATTGAGGTTGTGGTGGCAGCTGCAAAGAGGTATTTTGGTGTGCGAGACTTGATGTCAGAAGAGTAGTCTTCTCGACAAAGCCTGGATATATACAGTACCAGTCAAAAGTTCAGATACCTACTCAATCCAGGGTTTTTATTTATTTGTACTATTTTCTACATTGTAGAATAGTGAAGAAGTCAAAACTATGAAATAACACATATGGAATCATGTAGTAACCAAAAAAGGGTTAAACAAATTTGAGATTTGAGATTCTTCAAAGTAGCCAGTCTTTGTCTTGATGAAAGCTTGCACACTCTTGGCATTCTCTCAACCAGCTTCATGAGGTAGTCACCTGGAATGCATTTTAATTAACAGGTGTGCCTTGTTAAAAGTTAATTTGTTGAATTTCTTTCCTTCTTAATGCGTTTGAGCCAATCAGTTGTGTTGTGACAAGGCAGGGGTGGTATACAGAAGATAGCCCTATTTGGTAAAAGACCAAGTCCATATTATGGCAAGAACAGCTCAAATAAGCAAAGAGAAATGACAGTCCATCATTACTTTAAGACATGAAGGTCAGTCAATCAGGAAAATTTCAAGAAGTTTGAAAGTTCCACTTGACACCTCCAGGCTGTGTCAAGTGCAGTCGCAAAAACCATCCAGTGATATGATGAAACAGGCTCTCATGAGGACCGCCACAGGAAAGGAAGACCCAGAGTTACCTCTGCTGCAGAGGATAAGTTAATTCGTTACCAACCTCAGAAATCACAACCCAAATAAATGCTTCACAGAGTTCAAGTAACAGACATATCAACATCAACTGTTCAGAGGAGACTGTGTGAGTCAGGCCTTCATGGTCAAATTGCTGCAAAGAAACCACTACTAAAGGACACCAATAATAAGAAGAGACTTGCTTGGGCCAAGAAACACGAGCAATGGACATTAGACCGGTGATAATCTGTCGTTTGGTCTGATGAGTCCAAATTTGAGATTTTTGGTTCTAACCGCCATATCTTTGAGACGCAGAGTAGGTGAACAGATGTTCTCCACACGTGTGGTTCTCACTGTGAAGCATGGAGGAGGAGGTGTGATGGTGCTTTGCTGGTGACACTGTATGTGATTTATTTAGAATTCAAGGCACACTTAACTAGCATGGCTACCACAGCATTCTGCAGCAATATGCCATCCCATCTGTTTTGCGCTTAGTGGGACTATCATTTGTTTTTCAACAGGAAAACTACCCAACACACCTCCAGGCAGTGTAAGGGCTATTTGACCAAGAAGGAGAGTGATGGAGTGCTGCATCAGATGACCTGGCCTCCACAATCACCCGACCTCAACCCAATTGAGATGGTTTGGGATGGGTTGGACCGCAGAGTGAAGGAAAAGCAGCCAACAAGTGCTCAGCATATGTAGGAACTCCTTCAAGACTGTTGGAAAAGCATTCCAGGTGAAGCTGGTTGAGAGAATGCCAAGAGTGTGCAAAGCTGTCATCAAGGCAAAGGGTGGCTACTTTGAAGAATATAAAATATATTTGGATTTGTTTAACACTTTTTTGGTTACTACGTGATTCCATGTGTGTTATTTCATAGTGTTGATGTCTTCATTATTATTCTACAATGTAGAAAATATAAAAAATTAGGAAAAACCCTTGAATGAGTAGGTGTCCAAACGTTTGACTGGTACTATATATATATATATATATATATATATATATATATCCAAAACATTACTCTGAATAAAGTAACTTCATTTGTTATTTCTCACAAGCAGTGCACATCCGCAACAAGGCATGATGGTTGTCACCTTTGCGAGGGCGCGCACACACGCCTGGCATTCAAGCCACTCCACCCAAAACCATTGCAATTACTACTACGCGTTTAATGGGTAAATTACACGTGTGCACTCTTTACCATTTCGTCGTCTCCTTCCCCATATTCTGTATTCCCTGGTTCCACCGTCTCGTCGTCTGCCACACTCTTTTCTTCTTCCTTCCCTTCTGTTTTTAGAGTGACGAAGTCTGAAGTATGTTGGTTGTTGAAATAATCGTCATCTTGGTGCACTTCTTCTAAACAGATGTCCATACCTTCTCCCTCCGACAAGGTTTCTGAGCCTGAAGAGGACTGGCTTCTGCTGTCGCTTCCAAAAACATCGAAATGTTGCTCCTCCATAACGTTATACTCTGCAAACACCCACCACGCCAGTTTCGGTCTATCAATATAAGTCACCGCGTATTATTGGTTAAAATGTTTACCTGCACACCTTTTAAGTCATATTGAGGTTTGAATGCAGCGTGTTGCACAGACACAGTTGAAAAGTTCCATTCAGTGGAAGTTCCAAGGCTACGACACGGACACAGCCGTCTCATCCTTGGCTGCGTGCAATGCTGTTTGTAGCAAAAAGCGCCTGGAGTTGGGTTCATTTCATAACTCTGCCGACCAAAACGGGAATTGATCCGCTGTGCGCCGACAATCTTGTAATAGGAATTCTAACAGACAGACTGAAATCCACCAGTGGCGTGTATTCATTGTTGCCCCCCAAAAAATACCAATAAAAAAACATACAATAATGTATCTTTCGTCTCTCTGTGTTTCATAATTTTCCTTCAATTCTCAAGAGGCTTAATGTTTCTCACAGGAGAAAGCATCCGAGCGAAACAGCGCCCCTCTGTCTCTCTACGTGTAGGCCATCTATCTGATTCTGTCTGGTCCAAACAAGTATGACATTGTTGCCACCCGTAGCATTGAAGGCAAGCGAAGCAGCGAGCATTTGGCCTCCCTTGATTTAAAAAAGTATACAAAATTAGGCAATCAGCGTTGAGCTAAACTGTGAATGGTCCTGGACCAACCCCAAAAAAGGGAAGCCAGCTTGCATTTTGGCCTCACTCCTATCAAATCCCATTGAGATCATACATAATTGACTAAAAAAATTAAATTGTTGCATCTCGTTGTCCTACCGTTTCTTGCAAGCTAGCTAAAATTGGACTTTCCTAAATTAGCCATGGATGGAGACATGGATTTGGACTTGTGGTTTTACATAATTATCCTGACCTGGCCAATGATTATAAAGGCGATTCTGATCCAACCAGTTCAATATGTAGCTAGATGTAGAAGGCTGATGTTAACTTGCTAACGCTGCCCATGAATGGAAGTTTGGCTAGCAAGCAAGCAATTTAGTCAGGTAGCCTAGGACAACAAAAAAATGTAAGCATGTACTGTATGACAGAAAGAGAGGTGGATGGCATTGACATTTCTCTACAAGTAGGGTGAGTCGACATGTTTTTCTACTTGCACAAATAGCACACACACACAGAAATCAGAACCATGGACAGCCACATCATACTTAGTTTACATTGATTGAACTAAATTGTTTTTGGTATCTTTTAGTTGTCACAGTATTAGACTAAGCAGAGGTAATTTGATGATGTTGAAGTTGAAATGGTGCTGGAATAGTGGAGGCAGCTCCTGTTTTCTTTGCAACTTGCGGTAACTCTCAGTGGTCCTAAATCAATAGTTGTTTAGTGGTCCGTAAATGTCGGAAACATTAACTTGCTTGCCCATGCTGTAGGTCATGTAACTGTCTGTTACTGTACATGCAATATGCTTTGTGGACTTCAAAGGACAGAGGTTGCTATCCGGTTTTGTGATAAAACAAAGGTGTGGTTGAATTTATTCTGCCACTGTGTCTTTTTATTGTCTCGGCCTTTAGGCCTATAGGCTATATCACTGTCGCAAGGTATATGAATTAACAGGTTATAGCGCAAACAACGCAATTGTCACAACACATACAGTGGGGGGAAAAAGTATTTAGTCAGCCACCAATTGTGCAAGTTCTCCCACTTAAAAAGATGACAGAGGCCTGTAATTTTCATCATAGGTACACGTCAACTATGACAGACAAATTGAGAAAACAAAATCAAGAAAATCACATTGTAGGATTATTAATGAATTAATTTGCAAATTATGGTGGAAAATAAGTATTTGGTCACCTACAAACAAGCAAGATTTCTGGCTCTCACAGACCTGTAACTTCTTCTTTAAGAGGCTCCTCTGTCCTCCACTCGTTACCTGTATTAATGGCACCTGTTTGAACTTGTTATCAGTATAAAAGACAGCTGTCCACAACCTCAAACAGTCACACTCCAAACTCCACTATGGCCAAGACCAAAGAGCTGTCAAAGGACACCAGAAACAAAATTGTAGACCTGCACCAGGCTGGGAAGACTGAATCTGCAATAGGTAAGCAGCTTGGTTTGAAGAAATCAACTGTGGGAGCAATTATTAGGAAATGGAAGACATACAAGACCACTGATAATCTCCCTCGATCTGGGGCTCCACGCAAGATCTCACCCCGTGGGGTCAAAATGATCACAAGAACGGTGAGCAAAAATCCCAGAACCACACGGGGGGACCTAGTGAATGACCTGCAGAGAGCTGGGACCAAAGTAACAAAGCCTACCATCAGTAACACACTACGCCGCCAGGGACTCAAATCCTGCAGTGCCAGACGTGTCCCCCTGCTTAAGCCAGTACATGTCCAGGCCCGTCTGAAGTTTGCTAGAGTGCATTTGGATGATCCAGAAGAGGATTGGGAGAATGTCATATGGTCAGATTAAACCAAAATAGAACTTTTTGGTAAAAACTCAACTCGTCGTGTTTGGAGGACAAAGAATGCTGAGTTGCATCCAAAGAACACCATTCCTACTGTGAAGCATGGGGGTGGAAACATTATGCTTTGGGGCTGTTTTTCTGCAAAGGGACCAGGACGACTGATCCGTGTAAAGGAAAGAATGAATGGGGCCATGTATCGTGAGATTTTGAGTGAAAACCTCCTTCCATCAGCAAGGGCATTGAAGATGAAACGTGGCTGGGTCTTTCAGCATGACAATGATCCCAAACACACCACCCGGGCAACGAAGGAGTGGCTTCGTTAAGAAGCATTTCAAGGTCCTGGAGTGGCCTAGCCAGTCTCCAGATCTCAACCCCATAGAAAATCTTTGGAGGGAGTTGAAAGTCTGTGTTGCCCAGCGACAGCCCCAAAACATCACTGCTCTAGAGGAGATCTGCATGGAGGAATGGGCCAAAATACCAGCAACAGTGTGTGAAAACCTTGTGAAGACTTACAGAAAACGTTTGACCTGTGTCATTGCCAACAAAGGGTATATAACAAAGTATTGAGAAACTTTTGTTGTTATTGACCAAATACTTATTTTCCACCATAATTTGCAAATAAATTCATAAAAAATCCTACAATGTGATTTTCTGGATTTTTTTCTTCTCATTTTATAATAATAATATAATATGCCATTTAGCAGACGCTTTTATCCAAAGCGACTTACAGTCATATTTTGTCTGTCATAGTTGACGTGTACCTATGATGAAAATTACAGGCCTCTCTTATCTTTTTAAGTGGGAGAACTTGCACAATTGGTGGCTGACTAAATAATTTTTTCCCCCACTGTAGGTTGTAATATGGCTTTTAGGGGGGGGGGGGGGGGCTTGACTTCCCCAGGGATTTTACCCACGCACCGCTACTGACATCCACACTCATCATATTACATTGGTCCCATGTGTGTAACACTAAATACGATGACATAGATTTGTGTGAGCTTTACTCCTGTTGACACCCAGAATTTTCCACAAAGCCACATTTTAGCATGGAACCTTTCTTGCATAGTGGTGCTTTTCCATCTTGACCCCCACACCAGGGTGTCGCCAGTGTTTTATGTTAACATAAGCTCTAGTGTTATTGTTTTTTACATCAGAAGTGTGACACTAAAGCTGCATTTCCCAAACTGGAGGTCCCGACCTGATTTGAAAATGGGGTTGCGAGAGAAACTTTCTTCCTACAAATGTGGCTCGATCTTTTGAACGGTTTAAGCTACAAAACATTATGGCCCCATCACTGAAAGACAAGACTCTACAATGCCCACAAGCCGTGCAGGACTCATTAGAACATAATGGATAAGACCAGGCACTAAGTCAGACTGGGGGGAAAACAACATCTTTAATGAGTATGTTCTTTTCTACACAGAAGATCATAAAAAATTATTGCCTGATGATCTTCTGAACTTCGAAAACCTTTCTGATGCATTTCAGTCACTTCCAACCATACTTCCTTCAGATTTAAATACTGTCAAAAGTACTGTCTGACTGATTTGTAATAGATTGTCATAGCTCCATTGAAAATAGTAAACATTGCCCTTTGATTACATAACTTTCTTTTTACATGGTGGGGTCGCAAATGTTTTTTTATATCAAAATTGGGTCACGGGCCAAAAAGGTTTTGGGAACCCCTGCACTAAAGACTTGTGACTAGCAGAATCACCAACCTCTGCATCATTCAAGACTGTTGCTTTGTGAGAAGGTGTTAGAGTTTAAGTTAGCCATTGGTCTGTAAATGCAAGCTGAAAAGTACCCAGGGCCTTGCCTTGGATCCAAGTCAGAGTAGGTCCGCTGGAGCCATGGCCCCACGAGACACAGGTGCCAGTCCGCTTAGATGGAAACAGAAAAGTCTGAGCCTTTTGTGTAAAACACTGGGGTAATTCTAGTAAAGGGAAACCAAGGCTTTCTGAAGCCTTTGAGGCTTAGTCGTGAGTGTTAACAGCCTAGAATCAGGTACCGTTACAGGTTTGCACCTACACATGCTTTATTTTTTGTAAAAAAAAATTTTTTGCTGTAAAAAACGGAATCTATGGCAATATTTAGGATGCTTAAGACAGAAACCTATACTACTGTACACTCTTATATATATATATATATATATATATATATATATTTTTTTTTTTTAAAGGTTCCATATAGAACCAAAAAGGGTTCTATCGCTTGCTTCAAATATGAAACACCTACAAGTTCTATATAGAACCCTTAAAAGGGTTCTTCTTCACTGAACTAAAATTGGTTCCATATAGAACCCTGTATGGTGCCATTTATGAATAATGGCTATTACTAATAAATAGTCATGCTTTTAGCTAAGAATATAATAGGATAAACCATTAAATAATGAAGAAAATAATACCAGCATAGTTTTGAGATTTTATTGTCATTATATGCAAAGATAGTTTGGAAATATACACTGGTGGCCAGGGAAGCACCTCTTTGTTTGAATGATGGCTCATGTCAATCTCGGTACCAACTCTGGCTGACTTCTTTATGGAACAGTACAGTATGGG